ACCTGAGAGGTGAGTGGAGTGGGCAGCACGGAGCCTCTTTAGCCGAGGTGCGTGGCAGGCAGAGGGGGTGTGCTGACGTTCACCAGAAGAGAAGAGGGTGGCAAGAGATGAGGCGGGGGGGGGGGGCATGTACACACACACAAAGGTCTGTGAGCATGGAGTGTGACCCTGAGCCCTAGAAGTGGGGACCGGAAGTGGCTGCTGACTCCGTGAGCCAAGGGCTCAGTCCTCCCTAGTCTTCCTGAGGGATTGGCTTGGAGCAGGAAGGTGCACAGCCAGGAGTGCAAATGGAAGGGGGTCCCTGGTGTCCTCACGCTCCCACTCCCCACCCTTGCTTGCAAGGGTCTGGGCCCTGCAAGCAAATTTGGAGGCACCAAGGAGCAACTCTCAGACCTTGTCTCACCTGGCCCCCACCAAGGAGAAAACTGGTATCCGGATGCTGGAAAAGGGGACACATTGAAAAAAGGGAAACACTGTCCCCAGGCTGGATGGGAGTGGACCCACAGCTCTGCCCTGCACCCCAAGCTGTGTGCCTCCTGGGTGAACAGGCCTGGCTGAGCCACCTCCCTGCACCTTGGGTAGCAACTCCGTTCTTTCTGGAGCCTGAACTCGGGGTCTGGCCCCTGAGGGGGCAGTGGGGCCCTGAGAACAGCCCTGAGCAGGGACTGCACCCTTGGCCCTCACCTGGCCAGGTTCTGTCAGGAAATGCACGCCCTCTCCCCACCAGTTTTCTTTTGGGAGGGTCTGAGAAAGCCTATTCTTCCAGCTGCCTGCCAGCAACAACGCAAAGGCCCAGATGTCTCCTTTAGCCCCCGGCTCCCCCATCTTTTCTGTAAATTCGGATGCTGAAAATCATTTGAAATTAATAGATCCTGGGTAAACATATTCGTGTCTTTTGAATGTGCAAAATCTGGTGGGTACATGACACAGCGGCCCACTCTCTTTGGGTGACATCCATCATTTCCAAGGTGAAAGCCAGCTCGGGAATGTCCTAAGGAAGAGGCACATTCACAAAAGAACCAAGTTGGAGGAGTAAACAGATTCGGGAGATGATTATTGTGTTTTGGGGAATGCATCGCTACTTGTCTGAACTGTGGGGAGGTCGAGGGTGTTTTTAATTTAATGGATTAATCATTTACGTCTGAAGTTCTTGCTCCTTCTATGAAAGCAGTGCGGGAGGCTGGCAGGACGTTATAAATCACGTCAGAAATCACGTCAGATTTTGGGCCTCGTCCCCGGGAGGCCCAGTCGATGGGGAATTATACTAATAGTTTGGGAGAGGGAGGAGTCGCCTGGCAAGGTTCTCTCTAGCCAACCATGTCAAAGTGGGGACAGGCACAGACCCAGACGACAGGCTTCCCAGCAACATGTGGGGCCCCACCCTGCCACGGGGAGGGGGTCGCCCCAGGAAGTCTAAATTTCATTCCTGGATGAGTGAATTTCTCTGGGTCACGATTTTTCCCACCAGCTAGTGTTGGGGCCATGAGTTCTGACGTGGTGTGCACCAACTACAGCTAACTGTGCTCAAGATCAACCAGAGTCTCCATGGCTGGACCTTGGAGTGGATTTCTGCCTGGCATTTCCCCAGCATTTTATGCGTACTGATCTCATCAGGAGGTCGAGTTGTCATTCCCATTTCACAGATGAGTTTACTCGCCTGAAATTATATGTCAAGGAAGTGACCAATTCTAGGCTTGAAGCCTGGCCTGTCCAGCTCACATCTTGATCCCCTGACAGGGGTGTTGCCAGCTGGGGTCTGCACTATGCCGCAGTCCAGCTCCTGTTTCTCCTGCAGGACCATATCTGAACCGTCCAGGGCCCCTCGCTTTCCTTCACGCTCCCTTTCTTTTCCCTCTCAATGAAAAACTAGCTGGAGGTACAGACACAGAACGTCATTCTGGTCTGGATGTCTAGGGCATTACCTGCGTTCAGTAGGTCACGGGCCTCCTGCCAGGCCAAGACAGGGCCAAAGTGGACCCCAGCAAGCAGCCCTGCACAGAATTCCACCCAACTGGCTCAGAGCTGCCCTTCGAGTTTTTGACTCAGGCTTGTGGTAGATGGTGAAAAGGAACAAGCCCCACAGATGAACATTCTGCCTTCGCACTCCTTCCTAGTGAGGCGCCTTTGCAAGCAGTATTGCTTTCGTCCTGAGCACCCGTCTGTCCCCAGCTTTCCTAAGTCTCCCTGCCTGAAAGCCACCCATTTGGGCACCGAGTCGCAGCCTGCAAGCTCTGCCTGCCCACGCCTCTGAGGACTTCCGCGGGGTCCTGCCTGCCAGGAAGCAGAGCGGCATGGGAGGCATGCACGGACCTCTGCTGGGCCCCACCTGCAGCTCATGATACCAACTTGAGTCCTGCTGGAGGCAGGGGGCGGGCCTCATCACCGGCCCAGCTGTTCTACCAGGCTGGCCCCAGCACTAGAGGCAGAGAAAACTAGAGAGGGTCCCGCCCCCACTCCGCAGAGTGCAGGCCTGAACAGCTCAACGTGACCTGCTGCCTGAGCACCCCTCATTAGGGCTCTCCATCAGCAACAACGGGGGTCCCTCTGGGGCGGGGTCTGCTCTGCAATCCCTCACTATAGGGCTGGAGTCCGGGGAAAATGCATCACCTCTCTGAGGCCTCGTTTCCTCCCCCTGTGACGCACAGTAGGTCTTCAGGAACTGTTCCCACTGCCGTATCGTTCATACCCTTCTATTTTCAACATCTTCCCACACAGATAACGATCCCCCCCCCCCCTGAAGTCCAACACAGAAGCTTAAATTCCAGAATCCTCTGAAAACCTCCTGCCCTGTCCAGATTAGCTGATAACACAGCTGTGTGTTCTCGGGTGGCACCATGAGGGAGCTGGTCCGTGGGCCCACACCCGGCCCATGCGCCTGGGACTCAGCCCAGCCCCGGCCACGACCGCGTGGGCTCCTGGAGGCTAGCCACTGAATGGCCCAGCCCAGCAGCCGTGGGAGCCGAGCTGATTTAATGAGGTAGAAAACCAGTCACAGACAGAGGTCCCAGCTGCTCCCTCCAATTCTACTGATAGTACTCTGGCGGGAAGAGAAGTCTTAAATCTCTTGCAATTAGGAAATGGATCACAAGTGGCCTCTCTTTGGATCTCAGAGGGAAGATTTTGCTGTTCAGGCTTTCTCCGGGGCCAAGAGCAGCCTCAGCAATTGAGACGAAGTATGGGGGTGGGAGGGCCAGCGTGGGGCTCCCCAGTTGGTGCTAAGTGTCTACTTTCCACCTAGCAGGAGGGGCCTGTTCTCAGAGCGTCGCGGCCCCATGGCATTCATGGGCCTGGGTCTGCTTCCTCCTTGCCCATGGGAGGAGCCCAGTGATAGAATCTTGGGGTACACAGGGCAGAAGGGCCTCCTGGTGGCACGGTTTTGCCACTGAACGTGTGGTAACTGAAAGCCTGAGTCCCTCCAGAAGCCTGAGGCCTCACAGACTTTCAGCTGTGCTCCCCTCCTTCCTTGGAGGTCGGCTCTGGAGAAGTTAAGGGGAATAGGCCAAGTCCTGCCCTTGTGACCTCCATTCTTAGCAAGTGGGGGCGGGTGCCCAGATAGACTGAACTGAGGATCTGGAACATTCCCCTCTCCCCCATCCCAGTCTCTTCTGAGGACCTGAGGGAACTGAAGCAAACCAGGTGGGGTTGTTTGGTGGTCGTTTACCCAGATATAACAGGCTGGGCCCACAGCTGGTTTGAAATGAGGAGACCCTCTTTGTGGGTCCCACGCAAGCTCTGCCCTTGCAGGGGCCCTTCTGGGGGAGAGGCTGGACGCTGCCTGAGGCTGCACCCCAGGAGCAGCCTCTGAAGCCTCACCTGGGGGCGAGATAACTAGCAACGTTTGGGATTATTTCCAGTGAAATCCTGAGATTTCAATGTAGGACTGGACTCAAGCCAACAAGCATTATCTATGAAACCACAAAGGATTAAGTCTGTTCCAGCTCAAGGGAAAAACTAATAAAATATGGCTTAGGAACATATGAATATCAAAATCCCTAAAACATGCTGTAGGGTAAATATAGAGGCAAGCTGAGCTCACCCCGTAGTCCTTAAGTAGCTTGTCACCCTAAATCCCAGAAGTAAGCAAAACCGAATCCCATGATGTATCCATTCTTGACTCCTGCTCATGTTTCCTCAGCGCAGCAGCCCTGAGCAGCAGCAGCAACAGAGTTCCACACTGTTCCTGCCACATGGGCACCCCTCCCACCCCGGGGAGCTGATCCTCTGGGGCGGGGGCTAGTCTGTCCCCCAGGGCGCAGTGGGGAGCCAGTGCTGCTGCTGGAGCTGCCGGGTGATGGAGAGGGCCTGGCATGAGTTGGCAGAGGTGCGGTCCCAGGTGAGTGAGCTCTCAGAGATCATCCGTAAAGTGGGTTAACATACACCCACTGGGACAGTCCATGGACACATTAGTGCAGGGACTGGCCAGACCGGCCAGAAGGAACGCTCTCAGAATACAGGCTACTGTTGATGCGGGCACCAGGTGGGCGCGTTCTGCCCAGACCCCCGGAGTGCTGACAACACAAGGGACCCCGAGAAACACAGCACACCTCTCAGCCCCGCTCCAGCCCAAGCAGAGGCTTGCTGAGCCTCCGGGGAGAGAGATGGGAAGCAGCCCCTGTGGGAGCCACGAGCACCCCCCAGTGGACAAACGCCCACACTGCCAGGGCCGGGAGAGGGGGTTTGGGCAGTTTCTGCTTTGGGACTGCATCCCAGAACCCCCACGGCTACGGACATATCACTTGTAATTCTCCCTCCACCTTCTAGGGTGGGTGCTGGGCTGCAGCTGAGCACTCAGCCTGGGGCCTCAGAGACACTCTGGGAGAGGCAGGCACCCCATTCACTGGCAGGCTGCCTTTGCTCACCATTCCCCTTAGCGGATGGGGGTAGTGGGCTCTGGGGGCGGTCAGGCGTTTAAGGAGACAGACCACAGGGTTGGGGGTGGGGATCTGCAGAGCGCTGCGGGAAGGCTTGGAGGGGGCGACATGCACGGAGCCGTTACTAACCATTCACCTGCAGGACGTGGGTCTGGAACAGCTCCTCGTGGCCCGAGGCGTGGCAGGTGTAGTTGCCCATGTGGATGGTGGTCACCTTGGTGATGTAGAGGGAGTCGTCCTCTCCGAAGTCCTGCACGGGGTGAGGAAGACAAGGCGGTTGGCCTCTCCGGGCAGCGGGCTGGGGAGGGCAGCCGTGGCTCCTGGAACCCTGTGGCTGCCACAGGGGGCTCCCCTTCTCTCTGCCCACCTGGAGCAGCCAGGGCTGCCTGTGGGACTGTGCTGGTCAGGGCCCCCAAAGCCATCTCTCTTCCACGAGTCTTGTCGGGACCTTACAGGCCTGCCTGTCCGCTCTGTGAAGAGGCCAGGATGCTGCGGCGTCATCTCCCTCGCTCCCCTCCAGCCTCAGTCTTTGGCAAGTGGGCGCACCTGGCCCTCAATTGACTCCACGCCTGCGCAGGAGGCGGGGCCTCCCTCAGGAAGGGCACCTTTCTTTTAAAGGGCCAGGTAGCAACTATTTCACACTGGGGGCCATGCGGTTCGTCAGCATCTTAACAGCACAAAACCGCCACAACCATAAATTAATAAGCGTCACTTTTCCAGTGACTTTTTTTTTTTTTTTAAAGATTTTTTTATGTGTGTATACAGACCTGGGGTTCAGGCCAAAGGTGGAGGGGCAGTGAGAGGATTCACCAGAGACAGAGTGGGGAGCAGAACAGGCTGACTGACAAAGTACACTGCTGAGGGGAGCAGCGGGCGGGTCAGGAGAGGTCTGCTGCGCCATGTGGTCACCTCCGGGGCAGGGGGGATCGAACTCATGCTGGAGTGGCTTTAGCTTCTTAGTGCTGTGCTTTAACCTGCTCCGCCACCGGGAAGGGCCCTCCAGTGATTTTTAATAGGTAAAAAAAAAAAAAAGCCCCCTGTTACATCCACCTTGATCCCCAAATCACTTCAGGCAGCTTGTAGAGCTCTGGGTAACGTATAAGAAGGGAACCGAACCCTGAGGAAAATGGAGCAAAAGCCAAGGGCCGAGACGTAAGTGACGGCCAGGGAGGGCTGACACCAGGCTTCCATCAGAGATGGCTCTGGAAGCTGTGTCCCCATGACCTCTGCAGCCCTTCGCATGGCCCAGTACGCAGAGGCGGGGAGCGGAGCGGGGCTTCTGGCTCGTGCCTAATGGCACTCGGGCCTTTCCCAACACTGTCTCTTGGGCACTGCTGGGCATCGGCTGCAGACACGCTAGGAACGGAAGGAGCCAGTTTCAGGGAGCCCCTCATCAGTCTGTCTTTAGCTCCCCAACCCCTCTGAGGTGTGGTGCTCAGAGCCAAGTCTAGGGGTGGCTCACTGGTGAGAAACAGAGGTGCATGCCCGCTGCCAGGAGTGGCTGGAGAAGCCCCGTGCCCAGACTCCAGACTTGGGCCTCAGCGAGGATGGAGAGCCCGTGGGCCTTCGAGCACAGGGGCTGGCCAGAGCGAGCACTTGGTTGTGGATGTTGTCACCAGGTGGGTTCATTCTGCCCAATCCCCAGGAGTCCTGGGGTGGCCAGATGTACAGCAAACCTGTCACCTGCTCAGGTGCTGTCTGTGAGGTCTGAGCTGAGGCTTGTGAAGCCTCTTGGTGGGGAGGTGGGAACCAGACCCCAGGAGGCAGAGAATGCCTCAAAGCCAACAAGGGCCCACTCGCCCTGGGAGGGGAGTGGTAGATCCAGGTAGCTTCTGCTTCTCACCGGACCTCTGGGGTGCTGGGGGCGAGGGGTGACCTGGCAGGCGCCTACTGGAATCCATGTCTTAAAGCGGGAAGCGTGGCCTACCTGGGGGACTGCTTTTCTACTTTATTAACAGAAGCTGCAAAGCTCCTCTTGACCTGCAGCTGGTCCTCCTGCTGAATGAAGGCGCTGCCTCTGAGCTTCCTCCTTCCAGAAGCGGTCAGCCAGTAGGAGGCCACGGTCAGCACAGCACAGTGGTGTTCAAGGGCAGCCCCAGGCCGACCCCTGGTCCTCGTTCATGGCAGGCAGGCTGCCCTGCCCTCCTCAGCCAGAGTGAGACTGGGCCTGAGCGGAGAGGCTGGACCCTGCCGGCTGGAGGGCACTAGGGGGAAACTGGCTGGCAGCGCCCTCTGGTGGAGTAAAATATTGGCGGGACCGCTGGGGCCCTGTGCGTGTTCTCTGAAATAGCGCTGCTTGAGGAAAAAAAAAAACAACAAAAAAACAAAACCCAAACCTGTTCCTATCACAGTGGAAGCTTCAATAATAAAAATAAAACACCGGACAACTGATTTGTCAAGTGTCATAACAAAGTCGTAAAGGGCTCATACCTGAGCTTATGAAAAGTTAATGGTTAGTCAATTCTGGATCTGACATATTTCTAGTCTAAGCTGTGTTTGAGTCAAAATCTAAGTCTGGAGGAAAATCTATTTTCCCCGGGGTCTCAGTGGTGGGATGGTGTCTTAAGAATGGGTTGGGAGGGTGGGTGCAGCCCCCATGGCTCCTGGCCTGATCACGCCACACTGCCTTCACCCCCTTGGGGGGGTCCTCAAAGCCAGGCTTGCGCTCTGCTGCCCCATCATGCTGCCCCTACATGGGCCTGTGTGGTCATGGGGCCCCCCAGCACCTTCAGGCGGCTTGACGCTGAGGTGGCCACAGAGCGATGTCAGAGGGGTACGAGGATAATGGTACCAGCTTAGTCTTAAGCCATTGTGTGCAGAGAAACAACATACATCACCTGTGTAATCCTCAGAAAAGGAGGGAAAAAAAAAAAAAAAACACCTGAGAAACTATAAAACTAAAATCCAGCCCTGCTGGGGTGAGAAAGCCAAGCCCCCTTTGCGACATATTCAGAACCCCTCTGCCCTGATCCCCTTTACTGCCAGCACCTGGGGCCAGGCCCCCTGCCTTCCCTGCACACCGCACCCCTCCCGCTCAGTCCCTGCCCCAGGGGGCCCCTCTTGCACCCCCCACTCCCACTGTAGCTCTGTGGCCCTGCCATTGCTCTGACAGGGCAGGCGTCCTGCCCCTCGGGAACTGTCCTGCTGACCCCTCTTCCTCAAGGCTGTGGGTCTGGCTCACGTGCTGCCTTCAGGAGCATGCGGATGTTACCAGCCAGCCCCA